TGTGTTTTTCATTTTCTTTTGCTACAAAAGGCAGTAAAATGAACTAGCATTTTTGTGTGTGTTTTTTCCTGCGCGCGCTTCGAAAGACAATACATAGAGCAAACAAACGGAATCCTCTCGAGATCTTTACTTTCTCCGTGGTGATTTGTGAACACCGCTGCCAGCCTACATATATGAAGTAATTCTTAGAAAATGTATACGTGGAGTATCAATGGTTACTGTTTAAAATGATGAGAAAGACATATGTCTTGTGCGTTCAGATTGGTAATTAAATTTATTTTTTACAGTTGATTGGCAATTCCTGTTATTCAATCTAGTCTAGAATGTGAAAAAAGACAAGGAGCATATGCACCTTGATTCCCACAGGTGAAGATACACTGCTAGCTTAGCTCAATCAGAATACTATGGTTAAACATGATGCCGAATTTTTCGAATACTGCGGTATTTAAAAAATTACACTGCCAATCTAGGCCTTACTGCATATAAGTTTCATAATGTAATTTCGTCCAAAGCATTGAGATTCAGAGATCAGGGGACGACGGGATGAGGTACCTCTCTGAGCTGAGCAGGGGTGACGAATAATGTAATTTCGTCCAAAGCATTAATATAGCATGCTACCGGTACCTGCAAAATTTCACACAATCAGCAAAAACACTTACCTAACACCTGTACAGAACCATGGCCGTACATCTGTTCTCATTTTCACATGGTTTGTCCTGCCTTCAGAAACTACCATGGGAGGCCATGTGAAGCTCATAAACAGGCAGGGACTGAACTAGACGGTTCTAAATGATCCACGACTCAGCCAACATGGACTCTTGTTTAACAAAAAATGGCAGTTTCTGCCATGGAGGGCACATGCATACTGCACATATGTTTTTTTTTTGAAATAGAGAGTTGTATTAATTAAGTAGAGAAACATAGTTCGTACAATCGTGCAAGGCCTCACTCAACACGCAGGTTGGCACAGAGCCTTGCATAACCCCACCACGCAACTCTCTACGCCCCAACTGGGCAAGACTATGAGCTAACCTATTGTCCCTTCTATCTACTTTGCAAACTTTTACTTCTCTGTTCCCTTTCATGGCTTGAAACTCCTTTACAATTGTTGCAACCTCCGATCTATCAATAGACGAGAGGATAAGCGCCTTTGTCGCCGAGCTGCAATCCGTCTCGATGATTAAGGGTAGATTCGTCCCCGACATTGCCATCCTTAGTCCTTCTAGGCAAGCCATGGCTTCCGCGCAGTCCGCTCCATTGCACCGCGGTATATAATCCCAAGCTGATAAGATAATTCTTCCATCATGATCTCGAATCACAGCTCCCCAGGCTCCACTCCTATTTTCCTCCAAAAAACTTCCATCAACATTGACCTTAGCCCATCCGAGCTCTGGCATTGTCCATCCTTTTTCCTTTGTATGATCATGTTGTTGCACTGATGGCAAGTTAACCATCGGACTTTTCCCTTTTCGATCCATCTCAGAAGTTCCCTCCGCAATCAAGCGGATGTTTGCAAGGTAGTTTTGCAGAAAACGAGCAGAGTGGGAAATTTTCGCTTTACCTTTTGCGAAGATCGTGTCATTTCTATGGTGCCAAACACACCACCAAAATAGCATAAATTTTTGTTTCATATCTTCACTCACCTTATCTAGCAAGATTAGGACCCAATCCCTTCCAGTATATTCTACTTCCTGCTCAGGGGGCAGGTTCCATGCCTCCTTGAGTTCGTGCCACAAGGCCCTTGCAAATGTGCATCGATGTGCCATATGGAAGCCTGTTTCATCCTCGGCCCCACATACATTACAAATCGGGGTGAGGCCTGGGATGCGACGAAATCTATTAGTTTGAACCGCCAGTGACTCCGATGCTAGTATCCATGTAAAAATACGTACTTTTTGGGGTACATTTGTCTTCCAGATATTATTCCAAATACTGCGATCTCCTTGGGTATTGTGGCTGGACCCAATCACCCCAGAACCCTTTTCGTCCATGGCTAACCGATATGCGCTACGAACACTGAAAATTCCATTTTTTTTCGGGCTGCCACGCAATATAATCCTCATCATCATAATTTGGTAGTCGGATACTTAAAATATCATTTGCGTCTTCGCGTGTAAATATACGCATGATGTAGTCCTCCTTCCAAGCGTGACTCTCCTGGTCGATGAGGTCTGCTACCCACCGAGTTCGGGACCTTGTTGGGTTCATGTTTATTTTCATGTTTCCTCTCGGGATCCAATTGTCTCTCCAAATGCGAACACTATTTCCGTTGCAGATGCGCCAAATACATCCTTTTTTAAGGAGTTCCAAACCATGCATGATGCCCTGCCAACCCGGCGACGCATTATGAATAAACGCCGTGTCTAGCAGATCAGCCCCATGGTAATATTTTGCCTTAAGTACTCTCGCGCACAAGCTGTCAGGATGTGCAATCAGTCGCCAAGCTTGCCTAGCGAGAAGAGCCTGGTTAAAAACTTTAAGATCTTTGAATCCCATACCTCCTTGGCTTTTACGTTTTGTAAGTTTCTCCCAACTCAACCAATGGATACGTTGGCGATCTTCATCATCTCCCCACCAAAAGTCTCTGGTCATGTGCATGAGCTCCTCACAGAGGGTTGCTGAGAACTTGAAGACACTCATTGCAAAAGTGGGAATCGCTTGGGCCACTGATTTAATTAGTGTCTCCTTAGCTCCACTGGAAGAATATTTTTCTGTCCAATCATTCATTCTTTTCCTCGCTTTATCTTTTGTGTGCTTGAATTTCCCTTTTACCATACGTCCTTCTGGAACCGGCAAACCCAGGTATTTCTCCTCAAAAGTCACCGTTACTACATTCAGGATATTTATTAAACTGAGGGATAGTGAGATGATTGGAGATCTAAATTTCTTAAACGGCTCAGGATTCTCACCGCTACTAGGGAACAGCTCAGGATTAATCTCACCACTTTCTTCGTCATCAGAAACGCCTTCCGCCCCGATAGTGCCTGCGGGAGGGACCTGTATGCGCGCCTCGTCCTCAGCCACGACCTCCTCTCCCTCGTCGTCCTTGCCGCCATGCTGCTCCTCTTCTCGGTGAGGCTGACGGCCGTTGGGTGGCAGAGTCGTGTGCTGCTCCTCCTTGCCGTTTGCCTCTCCGCCGCCGCCTTCCCCCTCGCCGTCTCAAGGCAAGGGTGCAGGCCTTGAGGCACGAATCTGGGAGGAGGGGAGGGAGGGGCGGAGCTTGGGGTGCTTGGGGGCGTATTCCGCGTGGCCGGAGCTCGCCGGAACCGGCCGGCGTGGGAGCTGGCGGCGGCAAGGAGGTCACGGGGAGATGAGTGAACTGAGGGGTGGGGGTGCTGTTGGAGAGAGAGAGTTTGGTGGGGTGGGAGTGGATTTTTTTTTCTTTAGGATCGGGGTGGGAGTGGTGCGGCAAGGGAGGGATACGCTCAGTAGTAGCGTGGGTATCTTACCTGCGCTATAGCTATTCACTTAGTAGTAGCGTGGGTTTATACCCCTCGCTACTACTATGGCATGTCTCAGGGAGGTACGGTAGAGACCGCTTAGTAGTAGCGAGGGGTAAAAACCCGCGCTACTACTATCAACTTAGTAGTAGCGAGGGGTAAAAACCCGTGCTACTAGTAAGTAGCAGTAGCGAGGGGTATAAACTCGCGCTACTAGTAAGCGTCTGTCTATAAGCTTTTCCCTAGTAGTGTGGCCAAAAACACAAAAGCCAAGAAGCCACAACCGGCTGGCATAACAAAGATAGAAAAACTAATTGCCTATCCTATTACATGACCGTCATCCAAACCGGTTGAAGATATCCCGTGCTACCATCTCCCACCGGAATAGGCAGCCGAAATATGCACTTCCCACTGTTTGGTTTTGCTTCAAAGGAGTTGTCACTATCCGAATCAGGATATGAAGACGACCAGAATGTAGCAACTCTAAAAGTGGAATGAGTGGTAGCAAATTAAGGAGGCAAGATGCTAGGGAGACTATCTTGGACATCTATTGGGCTGGTTCTTGTACTGTCAATGGGCTCTGCCTAATTTCTAGATCAAGAGGCAGCTACAAATACACCCTAAAAAAACTACAAATAGGCGGTGAGAAAAACTATCCAGTGGATCTCGGACGGCATGGCCGCGGCGGCTCCTTCTCTCCCACCATGGCTCTAATTCCCCATTCCCCTTCTTGCTTGTTCTTGTATCCAGCTACCATATTGCAAACAACCATACATCTGTGACGTAGTTACACAAGAACATCGTTAATTTCCTGTTGCTAGCTACGTACACCAGAGGAACTCCAAGGTGAGAAATGTCGATCCGTGCACATTTCACAACTTGGCATGTAGCAAGATGAGCTGGACTGGGGTACATAGCTACCAGAGGCAGGTACACCAAGCTGGAGGAGCCTGTTTGAACCAAGATCTAATTTTCTTTGCATTGTATTCCTCTTCTGTTTTGTTTTGTTTGTGGAAGTTTATGCACTGAACCCCGGGGTATGTCGAGGATTTATTATATACTGCTTACATGAAAAGAGGGGGTAAGAGGGAGCATGTTAAAACTGCTCATTGAACAAAGATCGCGCTTATTTTGCACGAGTGAAACCTACAGCATGGAAACAAACTTCAACCCCCAGGTAATATACATATAGTTAATCTGTTTTCTTAATCTCTAGCTGTTGATTCCATTCCATCTTAGTAGTTCAGTGGCAGTAATACGGTACGATGCTAGAGCTTGAATATGCGCTTGCCACTGTTTTCATTTGCTTCGCAGGGGCCTTGGTCTCCAGGGTCTGCAGACTGGGAGGATGCAGAAGATAGGCAAGACCAAAACGACCCTACCGTGACTCTCGGAGAGGAAGCGGAGGATGGGCAAATTGAGGAAATAACAACATTGTGCAGATCAGAAGAAGATGCAATTCCTTTCTTCCCTGCCAAAAAAGGATAAAGTAGCACCTAGCACTCAGCAAAGTATTTATCTTGTAGACCGTATGTGCTAGGTAGTTTCGATCAGATTGAATCAGAGCCTCAAGTGCTGCAGCGCAGAGGTGCCATCGAGGCCCTTGGCCCTGTTGTGCCGGATCAGCTCCGCCATCGTCGTGCTCCTGAAGCGCGCCTCGCCGTCAGCGACGATTGGCCCTAGCACTCTGGTGGACGTGGCCGCGTCCTGCCTTCGGAAGAAGCAGACTACGGAGACGCGAGGCCCGGCGCTCTGGGCCACCACGCGGTGCTCCACACTCTTGAACCTGTCGTTGGAGACGATCTGCAGGAAGTCGCCGACATTCACCACCAGCGCGCCTTCCACCGCCGGCACATCTACCCACACAGCAGACAACTTGTTGTTGTTGTTGTTGTTGTTGTTGTTGTAGTTGTTGTTGTTGTTGTCTTCCTCGAGAAGCACCTGGAGGCCGCCGACAGCGTCCTGGAGAAGCACGGCGAGGAAGCAAGGGTCGGAGTGGCGCGTGGTGCCCAGTGTTAGGTGCGGCTCTGGGCAGGGTGGGTAATAGTGGCCGGCGAGCCTCTCCAGGCATGCGGCGTCCTCCTCCAGGTGGCCAGGATCGAGGCCCAGGGCCTCCGACAGCAGCTCAAGCAGGGTGCGTCCTAGCTGCTGCATCAGCCTCGCATACTCCAGCGCGATGGGCCGGCACGCGGGTGGGATCTCCTCCAGTTGCGGCAGCTCCGGCGTAGTCTGCATGTACAAGGTGTCGCGCCACTGGGCCGCCGGTGACTGGAACAGGTCGAAGTTGCTCCAGTACCTCACGGGCCGACCAAGGTCACGCGTATAGTACGGTGCCTTGGCCTCCCTCGGCTCCTCGTGGAATCCCCGCACCGCCGCGAGTATCTCCGACATGACCGCCTTGGGCACGCCGTGATTCACCACCTGGAAGAAGCCCATCGTCTCTGCGGCCGCCTTCACCGCCGCAACCGACTCAGCTCGCTTGGATGGTGTGGCTGTAGTACCACCCGTGGCAGCCGCGAGGTCGATGACCGGGATGGTGAAGTGGTGATCATGATCTGTGTGCTCTATGGGCAGTGGGTGGTGGAAGATGGAGGGGATGGTGGTGACGCCAGCATCGACGAGGCCTTTGACGCCGGCCTTGGTGTCGTCGAAGGCCTTGAGCGCACGAAGGCGATCCGAGTTGGAGGCCATCAATTATGGCACTACACCACTAGATGATTATTGATGCTCACTGAAATGAACTCTGGGCCGGTGCAAATCCTGCGTGAAAAGCACGATCCACTATATATGTATTAATTTTCTTAATACCTATCTCTTCCCAACTGCTATGCAAGAGACAGCCTAGCTTGCACTGATTATCAGTGCGGTGGTTGGTCCATCATTGTTTCCCTATCATTTTCCGAAAAACAATCATTGTTTTTCTTCATGCAATCAGTTCTTACCTAATTTCGAATGCTAAGTAGTTGCAGCCTTGCAGGGTTCAGTGGCTTGAGCTGGAACTGAAACAACAAAATTACTCCCTATTATGACTACCTTTCACACATCAACATCCACATGCTAAAAAATAGAAAAGAAGGCTTGTCACATTCACTCAGCAGAGATAATCAACATTTCCTTGTAAAGGAAAAAGTGTGGCTTGCACCCCAAAAGAAAGTGCACACTAAATTGAGGAGATGATCAATTTTTTCGTAGTGTGCAGGATCCGGATCTTGAATGCCACTTGATCCAGAGGAAAAATCTCCCTTGCTCTTTGAGGGTAACAGTGAGCTGTGAACAGCACGCAAGACCTTGGTTCAGATGACTAGATCTAGGGAGCGGGAAATTTCTATATCCGGCAGTCATCAACGCTCTAGTATGATCTAGTACAATGATTGTTGGGCTCAAGGTCGGCATCTTCTTCCTATAATACACAATTCAAAGTTTGTTACTCTGAAAAGGATCTGAGCGTAATTTGTACCGTAGAAATCAACATCTAGTCTTTATACAGAAGAAATCGGAGCCTCTGCAATAATATAATATCCGGGCTTAATTTGTGCAGAAATCAAAATCTAGGCTTTGGTTTTAAAACTTCTTACTGCACAAACCAAAATCAAATCTTCCAAGTACTACATAGTGGGAGGTTCCAATATTGTTTTTTAGTTGCATAAAGTCCCCTTTATTAGGACTTTGCACGACCACAACAGTCCCTTCTTCCCGATACTGCATAATTGAAAGGTACCAAAAAAGATCCGAGCTATATTTGCACTGTACAAGTCTGAGCTTGCTACACCCCGTATTCAGATATGAGAATCCACAAAATTCAGCTAATAAAATTCTGGACCCACTTTCCTAGGCTGGATAACATGTGCAGTGATATTTCCGCCGTTTAAGCGTGTTGGGTCGTGCCATGCGTGGGTGATATTCTGGACCAACTTTCCCAGGCTGGGTACCATCCCCAAGGCCCGTTCTTCTCCAGATGTTGGTGCGTATCCATTGTACTCGTCGGCGTAAGCGTCGTCAGTTGATCCTTCGATGGTTCCGACGAGATGGGTGGCAGATGGGACCAAAAATTTGCTCCGGCCAATAACTTTCAACTACATTGCTGGAGGCTGCTGATCCCTCGGCCTGATTTATCAATGCACACAGGACATTCGTCTCGTGCTCCCTTTGGGGCTGAGCAAACATTAACACCATGAACGGTTTTCCCGTGATGCGATCTGACATCGATCCGTGGCATTTCTAGATAATGTGAAGCTCTCGCTCGGAGAGTCGCCTACACCACCAGGAGGAGTCCCGGTCGCCACCGCAAGAAGGATCAACCCATCCACACCAGAAGGCACTGCCAGAGCAGACCAGAGCCTCTCGCCACCACCGCCATGAAGGAGCCTACCAGAAAGCCAACCGTGAAGCCCGCCATCCAGAACCACCGCCCCGGCATCCATGCCCCTAGGCACCACCAACCGCTCACAACACGACCACCCAAACATGGTAGGATGAGTGAAAGACACCTCCTTTCACGCCTAAGCCCGACATCAGCCCCCGCGTCTAGGTTGGCACCTCCATTAGGGCTGGAAAAAAAGCTTGAAGCTCGTGAGCTAAACGCGTAGCTCGTGACTTGGCTCGAATCGACTCGAACTCGAACAATAACGAGTCGAGCCAAGCTTCAGTTTAAGATCGTTTACAGGACGAGTTAAATGAGCCGACCTCACAAGTACTCGTATAACTTGTTAGGCTCGGTAAAAGAATCAGTGTTTCTTCATGGGAAGTAAAAATCAGCCACTAAACACTTTGCGTCCGAGCACAAGGCCCAATCGCTCAAGGCCTAGTCACCCAGGAGGCTCGCACATACATGACCATATATGTACATGTTAAATTCCCAGTTAATCTTTTTGTCGTATTTGTAAGGTTTTATGTTCATATCTTCAATGATCTTAACAAGCTAAACGAGCCAGCTCGCGAGTTATACGAGTCGAGCCAATCTTGGATTTGAGCTTGTTATAGTAACAAGTCGAGTCGAGCTAGCTCATTAATGAAACGAGGTTTAGCGAGCCGAGTCGAGCTGGCTCGACTCGGCTCGAATTCCACCCCTAACCTCCATCGTAGAAACTAGAAAGCGCCCACACCTTCACCCCCGGGGATATGACCCAGTGACTACCGACGGTTGCAATCTCGGTGGTCATCATATTCAGAACCAAGGGATGTTTAGGACAACATATAAAGTGAGTAAAGTTGAGGTTTTAGTCAAGGCCACAATTTAGTAGACGTACATCAGAGCTTACCAACTCCCCATGGCAGAAAAACACAAAAGAACACTTATCTGCGAAATAATGCAGTCCGTGAAAAGCAAGAGCAACTTGACAAATATTTGTATATATATGTATGTCCTAGTGCTAAGGCGTGCTTGCATCGCTCCTATTGTCCCACTGACAGCAAAATAATACCTAAAAGGACCACCAATCGACTGAAATGTTTCAACCAACACACTGACTTAGTGTCCAACATAGATGAAGCCTTTCTGTTCCATGCAACTTCTTCTGACACTGTTGCCTACAAAGTAAAGCACAATGTGGCCTGGAAGTGACAAAATAAAGATTAGGTTTGCAGGAAAAGGTGTAGGACAGTTGGCTTCTATTTTATGGAGTCGACTCCGGCAATTGATCATTGAATCTGGTAACTCATATATTCTCTTCATCTTAAGATAAGTGTCTTTGATTTACTACAACAACGGAGCGAGTAAATCTTTACATCGTGACCCAGCAGTTGTACTACTTGTGTATACATTTGTGATCTGCAGAAGTCACCTTCTCCTGCTTCTTACTTGAAAGCCACAAATTAAGACGACAAAGGACCACAACAGAAAGGAACCGCGCTCCCCGCTCCCCCGCTCCCTAGGGTTCCCCGCCGCCGCCGCCGGCTCCCCCGCGCGGAGCCGCCGCCGCGGCGGCCGGAGCCCGCCGCCGCCGCCAGCCCCCTCCTTCCCCCGTTCCCCTTCTCCTCCCCCCCTCCTCGCCCCTGTACCCCCGCGCCGCCTCCC